CTACCTATTTCGGAAAAAATTCTTAATGGGTCTCCACTTTTGAGAAATAATTTGGAGAACTCAAATGAATAAATTAATGTAGAAGTTTGCAGCAAGATTGCTTTTTTTTTTTTTTTCAGGAGCAGTCAACAACCCTCCCTCTTACAGTACTTATTATAACACTTTGATAGAACTATTCAGTTTTATTCTTACACTTTGAGGATAATCTCTCTAAATTGGTCCCATCCAATCTATTACATATCCGATCTGGACAATTGTAGGTCTGTTATATGAGGAAGAGAAATGATCAATTCATGTGGAAAGTACTCTTGTATTGGATTTTCTGAAATTGGATTGAGCAATATTTGCTACTAATCTGCACTATTACTGCTATTTGCTCTTGGCCTAATTTCCTCTTTCAGAAGTTTATGCTTCTCTTATATTATATTGCTTATACTATTTTGCAAGAGTGGTAGTTAACAAAGAAGTATCAAGTTAACTAATTTAACATAAATGGTAATCATCTAATCTAGATACCAAACATGAGAGTCTAGGCCATATGCTCTTTTATAATTTAGCATGCACAAACTATGCCCCAAAAGAGGTGTCATCTTCAAATTTTATGAAATTTTAATTTTTAACTGTACTGACTGGATTGTGTGCCAAGAGGCTTACGATATTATGGTCCATTTTGGAAACCAAAATTTGGAGGGTGGGATGTGGATTTGGTTTTAAAATTTAAATACATTGTTTGAGAATGATTTTGAAAGCTGGATTTTTGTTTGTGTGAAATCCACTTGTAGTTTTAGGGGTTCCAAATCTAGGATTTCAAATTATCTTTTGAGCTATGAATCTGTCATATGAACCCAAGCAAAAATGTCTCCCTTCTCAAATCTAAGATTGGTTAAAGTTTTGATTAGATCCTAGAATCGTCCAAACAAAAGGATTTCAAATTCATGAATTTTAAGTGAAAAGATTTGATATTCTTAAAAATTTTAAAACACAAACCCAACTCCAAATTCAACCTCCCTAACACAACCATATTGCATTGGCTGTTCCTAAAATTTAAGGAGATTATATTTTCAGTTGTATATGTGACTTTCAGATTGTTCTTCACCCTTTCTTGAAAGAGAATCTTTTTGGCATCCTTTTACTTGTAAATAGAAACTATGCATGCGATGACTATTTTTTCAAAGTACTAGCTAGATGAGCACCTGTTGGAGTGATTAAGAGAAGTTGTGTTCAAACTATTTTTCTATTAGTTGATCATGTTCCAAACATAATGAGGAATAAAAGAAAGAAACAAAAGAAACGCTACTTATTCAAAACTCTGGAATTTTCCAGTATAAAGGATTGATTTGGGTCTTTTACCTTTCTATTTTTCAGAGTGGAGTGAAGGGCAGGTTACTGAGTACCTAGTTGCAACATTTGGTGACTATTTTACAGATGTTAAGATGTAAGTTATCTTTCCTTAAACTTGGGTGACAGCATGCTTTCATTTCCATTCATAAGAAATAAAAGTAATAAGTTTGTATTTTATAGGATCTATGTAGGACTTGCATTTAGAAATTTAACCCTTTTTTTCTCCCATCATTTAGAACTTCGCATTGAGCAGTAGATGCTGAAGATTCAACATTTAATGACATTCATGATTAATTTTATTTACTGTATGCTCCTTTTTCAGCAAAGCTCACATATCTATCAATTTTAGTTTATTATTATTCCCGACATTTCAACGTTAGAACAATAATAGCTGGATCTAGACCTGCTGGTCTGGCTGTTGAGCCACTCAAATCTAAATGCTGTATCTCATCCTGAAGTTGCTTTCTACTGTATCTATCCTAAGCTTTCTATTATTTAGCTGAAGTTTTCATTGGCTTTGAGACTGGTTTGGTAAAATCCTTTTTGGAGGCCTCTTTGGAATAAGATAGGTTTATGCAACACTTTATGCTCTGTTGTATATTGATTCATCATTCACTCATCTATGTCATGGTGAAACTGTTGTTTCTTATTGATTTAATGCTCCACAACGAAGGTACATTGAAGAACGATCTTTCAGAAGATTTGTTGAAGCATGCTTGGAGGAAACTGCAATTGTTTATGTTGATCATCTTTTGACACAGGTTTTATTATTATGTTAAAGGAAACGTTTTCCGTTTTGTTTTCTCTTTCTGGTGGATATAGGCATGCATGCATCTTCCTGTTACTTATATTCTTTTGATCATGATTATAGAAAAATTACATCAAGGAGGAAACAATTGAACGAATGAGGCTAGATGAGGAGGTTCTTATGGACTTTTTCAGGGAGTACATTAGTGTATCTGTAAGTGTTGCTTCTTGATCAAGGCATTCTCTCAAAATAATCATCATTTGTGATGTCTTGAGATACTTCTGCATTATGCCTTGCCTTATCATTCAGTTGTTTCTATCCAATAATTTCTGCTAGCTCTTTCTTCATTCTGTTTTTCTAACTTCTGCAGAAAGTCGAAAACAGAGTTCGGATACTGAGTGATCTAAGAGAGCTTGCTTCGGCTGAGAGTCTGGACACGTTCACGCTAATTTATACAAATATTCTTGAGCACCAACCCGACTGCCCGGTAAACATTAGTAATATTATAAGATGCTATCTAGGCTGTCCTTGCCCTCATTACATGAAAGAGTATAGAAAAGTCCTATTCACTTACACTGCTTCTAGTATTTGTTCAGAGGTTATATATGTTTGCAGAAATCTGCATATATGTCAATGTTTCTGAATAAATATTTCTATTTTCTAATTACAGCCGGATGTTGTTGAGAAGCTTGTTGCGCTGCGCGAAGGCATCCCGCGCAAAGATGCCAAGGAGGTAAATGCCACCCTTTAATTTCGTTTATCTGTTTGATAATCATATCTGAGACTTTAGGATTTGGTTTACGTAATGAAAGGGAAAAAAAAAAGTGAGTAAGCAAAGGTAGGGGAACGTGAGGTTGAAGGAAATGGAATGAATTAAGATGAAGTAATTAAAATATGTAGAACCAGGGAGATCAAGAGTTGGCTGTCTTATCCATTTTCACCAACTTTTGGACTGAAGGTTTTGGTGGATACAGAGAGCCAATGCCTCTTAAGATTCTTTTAATCATTTCTTTCCTCTCAACTAATATGGAAAAGTTTCCAAATATATATTTATTCTTCTACTACTGTTTTTTACTTTCCATTTTCTTCCCGCTGAACTTGCAAGAGTGAGAAACTCATTCTTTCCCCTCAAGGCAATTATTATTGTCATTGGAAGGATAAAGCATTGGCTATTTTCACCTCCGGAGATTGACAAACTTTGGCCCCTGTTATATGAGCTTTTACTAGTGTTAAATCATTCTCATTCTCTTGCTCTAAATGATGTTGCTTGAGGATACTTCTGTTAAAAATGTGTTATGTTTCCTTTGGCTAACAGGTTGTGCATGAATGCAAAGAAATCTATGAGAACTCTCTTGTTGGTGGAAACCCCCCAAAGGCAGGATTTGTTTTCCCAAGGGTGAAGTGTTTATCGGCCTCTAAAGGATCTATATGGCGAAAACTGACATAGTTCAGTTGCTGTGCTTTTGATTATAGGTTTGTTGCTGTATAATTGTTCTTTTTTTTTTGCCTGCTAGGCAGCTATTAATTGTAATAAATTTGCTTTTTTATATTTCTTTTAGGTATTTCCTTATGGGATGGGTGTTGACAATGGTGGTGGGGGGAAAATCTCAATTCTTTTGTTATAAATATTTGATTTTTGGTGAGTAAAATTTTCACAAAATTATATATTCTTTGGGCTTTAGTTTCTCCAAAAATTTACATGTTTCATAATGTTGTGTAAGACTCAGACTGAAGGTGGATCTGTGCAATCAATTTTGACACTCCTGCATCAATTGTTAATGGATATGGATTGAAACTTTCTCAACTGGTTTAGTAAGCATAAAGTTCATCCCTAGTCTAGAGGGATGAAACAAGCATATTTTATCTTCTTGCAGAAAGCTAGTTTAGCTATCATAGTAAGCATAAGTTGTTGGATTATAAGAGATGTTGACAGCACAGCTTAGTTAATTAGTCTTACCAATTGTCACCAGCCATGGGAGTGGGAACAATTCTTCCTACCTCCACATCTATAATATTATATATGTTTCTCTTCATGTATGGTTGCAAACTATTAGAGTAAAATTTTTCTCATCATCTTCTTGTAGTTTAAGCTTTCAAACTAGCTTAAACTTGTAGTTTAAAATATGTATGTTAAGTTAAAATCCCACTTACTGTTTAAAATTTAGTAAAAAAGATTACTTTTGATCAATCCTATCAGCAAATATGATTTTATTTTTTTATAATTTTTGGAGAAGTAAAATAGTAAATAAAAAAACAAAAAACATAATATTAAAAAAAAATTTGACTTATTCAAGAAAATTTAAATAAATTATTATAATTAATGATTGATTAATCATTAATAATTAAAATATTATTTTTTATTTTATAATATGTTATAATAATGATGGTATAATATGATTATGTAAATCATAACAATGTCACGTGAGTATAAAATGAATAAAATGATAAATGATATTTTGATTAATTATAATTAATTAATTATTAATTATAAAAATTTATTTAATTAAAAATAAAAATATAAAACTTTATTGACATAATTAAAAAAAACTGATAAAACTAAAATTCAGGTAAAGCTGAATGCTGACATTAAAGGAAAGTGCCATTTTGGCAGAATCACAGACAGCCCCTTCTTTCGTGATTTCTAACATCTTCTTAAAGGAAGCTTCCAAGAAATTACTATGATAATTGAACTGAATATGCTTGCTTTATCAACACTTTATAGTTATACCTAAACTCCTTTTAATTTCTCCCAGGTTCCTTTCCGTTTATTCCTCAAACATTATTGACTTTGTTTATGGTTTTCCATACTGTGTACTCGTTTCCTGCTCAGATGGACTTGCTCATGCTTTAGCTTTAGAATTGTTCGAAAGCCCACCACAGCAATTCTCCCATCTAAGAGGAAGGGAATCAAACAACAGAAGAAACCTCATTTTTTAACTATATTTAACACTCGGAAATACTATGATTGTTTCCTTAAGGGAAATTTGGAGAACCAAGCAATTCCCATGAATTCTTATCCTGCAAGAAAAACATCCATCCAAAGATTCTGAACATTAAATATCAACAAATTTTTGACTGATCAATCAAGGCATATAAACCACGAAAGGCCAAACCAGAATAAGGTTAAAGCCTTATTTTGTCTCTTTCGGACATTTTTATCTGAACAAATACCGTCTCAAAGTTCCTCCTGGGGTTCAATCACTTGTCATCAAACAAGGAAGTGAAAGAGAGACAAATGGGGAAAGGAGGAATGAGTGTGTTGCTGCTGTTACTGTTTTTGAGTTTCTGTTCAGCTTCTGATCAGAAATGGAGGAAAGCAATGATATCGACTGACAAGGGCTCTTCCATGATGATGAATAGAGTTGGGTCGTCCATTCTGTTCCCAATTCATGGAAATGTGTATCCAACTGGGTATGTATAGAATATGAATGGGTAACTTCCATTTTTTGTCAAAATTGGCTCTTCTGGAAAGTTTTTCGTAAATTATCCATGGATATTCTCATATACAGAAAGACATTTCATAGATTTTGTACTTCTGCTTTTCATAAATGTTCATGTGAAACCTGCTCTCTATGTATAGTGGATTTCATATGAAATACTGCCTAGAAAGTAATAGTACGATCACAAATTAATACTGTAAGATCTCTGTACATGTTGATGAAGTCATGGAATTCACCATTTGTTCTCTATTGTAGGTACTATAATGTTACAATCACTATAGGTCAGCCTCCCAAGCCCTATTTTCTTGATCTTGATACTGGGAGTGACCTGACATGGCTTCAATGTGATGCTCCCTGCGTCCATTGTACTGAGGTGAAATTTTTAGTGTACGGCATATATAGTATATACGCTTTCATTTTGGTTAAATAATAATACTGCCAAATTATTTGTTGCTTGTGGTCTATCTGACTTTGTATCTTTCTTAATTAATATTTGGTTGGTTTGATGAGATTGATGGTTTCATGATGAGAAAGCCTGCATATTATGAGCAAATATTTATTAAATTGAATAATCAATCCAATTATCTGCAGCAGATGCCACATACTTCAAAAACTTTAGCCTGCTTGCTTATCCTCAACATACAGTTTCCTGCTTCAATGTTGTGTTATGGAAATTCTGTCAGTTTTTTTTTTTCTCTTATTAAATCTGCTGGTTTCCATGACCTCCAATTTCTTGTGTGAGATCCTTACTAGTTCCTGATCACAATTTAGCGAATGTCATTTTGTAGACGCTCATATTTGTTGGTAGAGGTAAATGGTTAATATTAAATGTTTTTTATCACCCTCTTTGCAGGCACCTCATCCACTTTACCGACCCACCAATGACCTAGTGCCCTGCAAGGATCCACTTTGTGCAGCATTGCACCCACCTGGTGACTACAAATGTGAAAGCCCAGAACAATGTGACTATGAGGTTGAGTATGCAGATGGCGGTTCATCCCTTGGGGTCCTTGTGCGAGATGTGTTTTCTTTAAACTATACAAATGGAATCCGACTCAGTCCTCGTCTAGCCCTTGGGTTGGTATCTAGGCCAAAGCTATCTTCATTATCAGCAATTTCCATCCTGTCAGAAGTACATAATTCTTGCAAGCTGCCATGGCACCTTGCCATTTCATACTTCTTGCTATGAACATCTACATTGTCATTATTTTAAACAAGTACATTGATCATGTCTGCAGCTTTTATTTGTTCAAGGAACTTGGAGGAGACAGGGAGACGGTGGGAGAAGGGGAAAAGTTGGAATGAAAAGATTTGATGGATGAAATTCTAACTAGGAAAACTTTCCTTTAAGATTTCTTTTCTTTGGCATGAAAAGTTCCTGTTGATACGTATGAGGCAATTAAAAACTTCTCTTTAAATTAGCATTAGGTCTTCTAATTTCTGAAGATTTCTATTGGACATCTGTTATATAGGGAAGCCCACTTTACTCCTAACCGGGCATGTTACGATCCCTCCCCCTTATTTATCCTTTTTGTCTTTCAATGCATAAGGCACCAGAAATTTACTCTCATGCCTTTTGGAACTTGCTCCTCAACACAGCCTTATACATTATGTGCTTTGGTTCCTTTTGCAGATGCGGGTATGATCAAATTCCGGGTGCATCTTATCATCCCTTAGATGGAATACTTGGCCTTGGAAGGGGAAAATCCAGCATTGTGTCTCAGCTTCAGAGTCAGGGTTTGGTGCGAAATGTTGTAGGACACTGTTTAAGTGGAAGAGGTGGAGGATTTCTATTCTTTGGGGACGGACTCTATGATTCTTCACACGTGACTTGGACATCTATGTCACAGGAGTTTACGTAATTAAGCCTTCTCTTCGTTTATTTTCATAGTTAAACTTCATTATAGTTGATTGCTTTCTGATAGCAAATCCTCTGCTTGCTGCTTATGGCAGTAAGTACTACTCTCCAGGGATTGCGGAACTACAATTTGGTGGGAAAGCTACGGGTATTAAAAATCTCATTGTCGTTTTTGACAGTGGGAGCTCTTACACATACCTTAATTCTCAGGCTTATCAAACTTTAACGGTTTTGGTAAGTTCTGGGCCAATTTCAGAACATCTTCAAAACTTTATGCTGCTAATTTCTACTGATCTTTACTTGTTGAAACTTAATATTGTTACCTCGTGTCTAATTGTTTTTCTAAATAATTGGGAATATAATAATTAATTAGATAGTCAGAAATAGATGCTGCTACTTCCTTACCATAGCTGTGTCCTTCTGGTCATATCAACTCTTTCTTATGTATTTCTTATCACCTAATTATTTAGAACTATAATTGTGATTTTCTTTTCCATGAAAATTTTGCTAGTTTAACCAATGAGTATAAATGTCATGTGTATCTCTAGTTGAAGAAAGAATTAAGTGGAAGGTCTTTAAAGGAAGCCCCAGAAGACCAGACACTCCCACTCTGTTGGAAGGGCCGGAAGCCTTTCAAAAACGTACGTGATGTCAAGAAATACTTCAAGACCCTGGCTTTGGCCTTTGCAAGTAGTGGCAGAACAAGAACCCAGTTTGAATTACCCCCTGAAGCTTATCTAATAATATCAGTGAGCACTTACTGACCTAACACCT